TGCATATAAGCAAATTGCAAAAACGCATACTGGAAAGAGGCTCTGTGTGTGTGTGTGTGTGTGTGTGTCTGTATGTTTGCACTTTTTGTCACTCACTTTCAACTCGAGAACCAGAAAAGCTAGAAGGCTGAAATTTTAGGTGGATGTTCCCTGTAAAATTTAAAAATTTCAAATTCAGCTTTCCAGGCAGGTGGAGTACCCAAGTACTGGCATGTGAAGGTTTTGGCGGGAAAATTGCTAACTCGGCAACCAGAAAAGATGGAAAGCTGAAATTCTGAGGAAATATTCCTTGTCCAAGTACAAATTAAGTATTTCAAATTGAGCCTTGAGGTATGCGTGGTTCTTACGTACGAGCACTTAAAAGTCTTGACGAAAAAATTCCTCAATGAACAACTAGGTTACTATTAAAGAACGACTGTTAGGTGGGAATTGTACATTTACTTTGCAAAATTTATGCTGATTTACTTTAGTGACCGCAAAAGGTAGGTGTAAAGCTACAACAATTTATGCAGTTAATGACCTGAGTACTTCAAGTCCGGTGCAAAACGCTTGATCCCATGAGCCCGCCCGGTGCGTTTCAGTCTGAGTTAACAATGCAAGCTGAGCATTGCGGAAAGGGGAAGGGGGAGGGGGAGGGGGGAGGAGAAAGGCGCCTTGCCCCGCTCCCTGGACTCGCCAGTGCTTACATTTCCTTTTCAGAATATTACTGCTGCACGGCAGACAATTAACGAAACAAAATTAATTTTTGAAAAACTTGAAAACCACTACTTTTCTGAGTACAACTGAGGGTATATTCAAGTATGAGTATAAAATGACTGTTTTCACACTTCCAACATTTGAATTAACTATCAAACAATTTCCAGCAAATTTTGCAGATTTGTTTACCGAAAAATAGAGTCAGTGGTTTTTTTTTTATTTGAAACCAATTTCTGTAGCTCAGGAAATGCTATTTGGCATTTTATGCTCTTTTCTGACACTGGAAAAGTAAACACGGTGAGCTAAGAAATTCGAAATTTCTTCAAGTTCCTATTCACCGAACATTCATGACGGAACAGTATTCAAATGATGCTCAAGAAACAGCTAAAATCCGATTTACGGAAATCAGGACAAGAATCCAGGCTGGAACGCACCAGGCAGGCCGGTGCGGTTATGCGTTTTTGCACTTTTCGTGCCGTAGCAAGATCGCAAGGAATCAAGGTAGCTAACCCTGTAAAATACTGGCCCTCGAAGTTCGGGAAGTTAATTGTGTAACTATGTGGTATGTCAGTTGTAGGTATCGACTTCAGTGACCCGGCAAATGGAAAGTTGCTGGTCCGCAAAAAAAGGCCACACAAGGCCACACAAAAACTAAAAT